ATTAGCTGGAATATTTCTAGAAGGAAAAACATCCCCTCATAAATTATTTAGTCACCCTAAAGTACAAATCATACAGAAAAGACAGAATAAATGTTTAAATCTTTCAGAACAAGTCATTAATTCTTTCCTTAGTTTCCGAAATATTGAATTGGCTTCCTTAAAATTCTCCAAACATGACTAAAGAAGTTTTTTCCCCTCCTTAAAATGTTATTATGAACTCATGAATCTATTACCCTTATTGATATTCTTTGGCCAGCAGAGGCTTATTCAAGTTGGCTTCTAAGACCTTTGACAAGAAATATGCAGTGTTTGGTAGCTTCCTTGATTTCTATTCTGATGGAATATTCTGACCTCATTTTATGCATTTCCTGCTCTAGATCTAGAATCAGTCATTTCTTTTAGGAGCTCTGGTTTCTTTAGTGAAACCAGTATTTAGAGAGGACAATCTGGACATCAGGAGTGTCACTGCTATTGAATCGGTCATTGTTTCTGGACCTTTTTGGTAAATAGAACTGTGAATATGTACTTTTTAGATTTAAAGGATGGGGCACCTGGGTGGCTCAGTCAGTTAAGCATCCGACTTAAGCTCAGGTCATGATCTCATGGTTTGTGGGTTTGAGCCCCACATCAGACTGTGCAGTCAGCTCAGAGCCTAGAGCCTGCTTCAGATTCTGTGTCTCACTGTCTCTCCGCCCCTCCCAACTCATGCTCTGTCCCTTTCTGTCTATCAAAAATAAATAACCATAAAAAATTAAAAAAAAAATAAAGGTAGGAAACAATCCATAAAACTAAGAGGCAACTGATGGAATGGGAAAAGATAGTTGCAAATGATATATCAGATAAAGGGTTAATATCCAAAATCTATAAGGAACTCACCAAACTCCACACCTGAAAAACAATCCAGTGAAGAAATGGGCAGAAGATATGAACAGACACTTCTCCAAAGAGGACATCCAGGTGGCCAACAGACACATGAAATGATGCTCAGCGTCCCTCCTCATCAGGGAGATACAAATCAAAACCACACTGAGATACCACCTCACGCCGGTCAGAGTGGCTAAAATGAGCAAATCAGAGGACTCTAGATGTTGGCGAGGATGTGGAGAAACGGGCACCCTCCTACACTGTTGGTGGGAATGTAAACTGGGGCACCCCCTCTGGAAAACAGTGTGGAGGTTCCTCAAAAAATTAACAATAGAACTCCCCTAGGACCCAGCAATAGCACTGCTAAGAATTTACCCAAGGGATACAGAAATGCTGAGGCATAGGAGCACATGGACCCCAATGTTCATAGCAGCACTCTCCGCAATAGCTAAAACATGGAAAGAGCCTAAGTGTCCATTAACGGACGAATGGATCAAGAAGATGTGGTTTATCTATACCATGGAATACTACATGGCAATGAGAAACAATGAAATCTGGCCATGTGTAGCAACATGGATGGACCTTGAGGGTGTCATGCTGAGCGAAATAAGTCAGGCAGAGAAGTACAGCTACCATATGTTTGCACGTATATATGGAGGATTAGGAGGAACTTAACGGAGGACCGTGGGAGAGAAGAAGGGGGGAAATAGTGGGGGAGAGGGAGGGAGGCAAACCATGAGAGACTCTTGAATGCTGAGAACAAACTGAGGACTGATGGGTGGGGTAGGGAGGGGAAGGGGGGTGATGGGCATGGAGGAGGGCACTTGTGGGGATGAGCACTGGGTGTTATTGGAAACCAACTTGACAATAAACTATTTATAAAAAAAATAAGTTAAAAAAATAAAATAAGTCTATTTGGAACCAAAAAATAAATAAATAAATAAATAAATAAATAAAGGTAACATGAACCATAAGTCCTAACTGACATGCAACTTGAATTCAGTATTACCGCAGACGGTTTTCTCAACTCATGCATTTGTATCTTCTTTCAACCCAGCTGCTATCACTCTTCAGTGACACAAATGCAACCATTTCATTTATCTCATGATACAAACACAATGGTATCAGTAACAATACAACAACCAGCAATGTGAGTATGAAAAGTAGTTAAAATTTTTCATTGAGTTCCCTTTATCCTTAAAACTTATCTTTTTTGGGCTGTAGAGTCAAAATACATGATTTTAAAGTCACTTAGAATCATTCCATACTGTAAGGGTTTGCCTCCATTTGAACCACAAAAAGGTTGATTCATCTCATGTTACTTCACATTTTTTAGGAACCACTTTTAGAATTTATTTTATTTTGTTTTGTAACTATGTAAGATATTTACATCATTCCCAAACCAAAGGTACACAGTATATTAAAAAAAAAAAAAGTATGGTTATTCTCTTTGTTTCTTTCAGCTTCCTGCCTCCATATAAGTAATAATTTTGTGTATACATGTCTATCATTCCAACATTCTAAAAATATTTAAATATTAAACAATGGCAATGTACTATTTCTACTTTTCTCCACCTTGCTATTCTCATTTAAAAATATATCCTAGAGGGGCACCTGGGTGGCTCAGTCAGTTAAGCGTCCGACATCGGCTCAGGTCATGATCTCACTGTTCATGGGTTCCAGCCCCGTGTCGGGCTCTGTGCTGACAGCCAGCTCAGAGCCTGGAGCCTGTTTCGGATTCTGTATCTCCCTCTCTCTCTGACCTTCCCTTGCTCATGCTCTCTCTCTTTCTCTCAGAAATAAATAAAACATTCAAAAAATATATATCCTAGACATCACTCCATAATAGTATGAAGAAACCTGCATTTCTTCCTCCCCTTGACTGGTTCTGTCTTGTGTGGATGCTCACTACTTTTGATTTGTCCTGAGCCCTACTGATGGACTCTTGGGTCTTTTCTCATCTTTGGCTATTGGAAGTAGTCTTTCAATGAATCTTCTTCAGATGTCTTTTTTCTTATTTTTGCTAGTATACCTTTAGCATAGATTCCTGGAAGCAGGAATTGCTCTGACTATGAGCAAATATGCATGGCGAATTATTTTTATGTTTCCAAATCCTTTTCTCCAGTGTTGTGCCATTTTGCATTTGCACCAGCCATGTATGAGAATGGCTGATTCTTTCTGTCTTATCACAGATTATATTGCTTTTGGATTTTTGTCAGTATGATAGTTGAAAAGAAGTTTCTTAGCTTCGCTTAAATTTGAATTTTTCTTATAGGTGAGTTGTTTTCCCTCAGTTGAGGCCAATCCTGTCCTCTTCACAGAGCCCTTCTCTATTCATACCCAGGAAGCCACACACTCAAAAATTATAATCCCCCCCCACCATTTCTTGGATTGGCGCTTTTTTTTAAAAAAAAATTTCTTTTTTAACATTTATTTATTTTTTGAGAGACAGAGAGATAAGCATGAGCAGGTTAGGTGCAGAGAGAGAGAGAGAGAGAAAGAGATTCACAGATTCCAAAGCAGGCTCCAGGCTCTGAGCTGTCAGCATAGAGTCTAACGTGGGGCTCGAGCTCATGAACTGCGAGATCATGCCCTGAGCCGAAGCTGGATGTTTAACAGACTGAGCAACCCAGGCACCCCAAGAGTTGGTGCTCCTTTAATCTTCTTTTCTAGTTCCATTTCTCTTGTTTGTTTCCTATATAGTCCTGGTTTTCTGGATCTACTCTTAACAGTTCTTTTTTTTCTTTAAGTTTATTTATTTATTTTGAAAGAAAGAGAGAGAGAGAGATTGAGCATGTAAGTGGAGGGAGAGGCAGAGAAAGAGAATCTAGAGAAAGCTCTGCGCTGTCAGCATGGAGCCCTATGCAGGGCTTGAACTCACAAACCATGAGATCATGACCTGAGCCAAAATCAAGAGTCAGACGCTTAACTGACTGAGCCACCCAGGTGCCCTGTTACTCTTAACATTTCTTTTAAAATATACTCCTTGGACTCTAATAATGATGCTATTCTTTTCTTTTTTTTTTTAATGTTTGTTTATCTTTGAATGAGAGAGTACAGCTGCACAAGCAGGAGGGGGCAGAGAGAGAGAGGGAGACAGAGGATCTGAAGCGGGCTCTCTGTCTCAATCAATGCAGGGCTTGAACCCACGAACTCTGGGATCATGAACTGAGCTGGTCAGAAGCCTAACTGCCTGTGCCACCCAGTCGCTCTGTGATTGCTATTCTGACTGCTACTAAGTGCGTACCTGCAGCGGAGAGGTCTCCCTCTGCTTCAGTCCCACACATCAAGCTGTCTGATGGAAATCATGAATCATGCCTCCCAGGCACCTTCGTTTTAACCTGCCTTTAACAATGCCCTTCGCCGACGCGCCCTTCCTCTGGTGTCTCCGTTCAGTGAATTCAGTGATACATAAGCACAAATCGCCAGTTGCTCTAGTCATAACTTGGGTTTTTTCCTGATGACGCCCCCTCTCACCATCCTTGTATCAAATCAGTCACCAGTTTCTGTTGCCTTTACCTTATAAACAGTTCTCAAATCCATCTATTTCCCTCCACCCAGAACTACTGGTTTACACTGCTGTCATTTATGCCCTGGACTACTGTACCTTTCCTTCAGGTGGTCTTTCCTTTCTTGGCTCTCAAACACTGTCAGAATTGCCTTTGAAAGCACAACTAATATAGTGCCATTTGCTAGCTTAAAAGCCACTGAGGGCTCAAAAAACAAAACAAAACAAAACAAAACAAAACCCAAACCCCTGAACCAAAATACCAATTCTCAAGTCAGATTTCTATAAGTACACATGTAGGTAAGTCAGCGCTTACAGAATCAACACTAAACCGCTCCAAGAGGGTCACCTCTGGGGAGGGGCCTGGGAGGCAGCACGGGAGGGGACGTTGTGGGCGGGATTAGTGTTAGTAAAGAAGGCCTTCCATTTTATTATTATTTGAATTGTTGGAATTTTCCACATTTAGAATGTTTTCAAACATTACTTAGATATTTTAAAATAAATAAAAAGGACCAAGAAAGTGAACCTTCGGCTCTGAGGCAGACTGTGCTCACCAGCAGGCTGTGAACAATAACGCTGTCCTCTTTGACTATGTATGACCTGAGAACTTAAATCAGGGTATTCTTACCTTTGTGGTCCACAGTTTGAAGGTCCAGTCAAATGATGATGTGACAAACAGGTGTGAAAAGTCGATCGGGCCCACAGCCATGTGGCAGTTAATTCCAGTCACTGGCCCTTGGTGACCTTCGAAGACCTCACCGATACCTGCTTTGCTGCACGAAGACCACACATGAGTAGAATTTCAGTGACCTTTGCAAAGCCGCAATTGCTTAAAAAAAAAACAAAAAACTTGCCTCTGCATGATTACTTCTCTGTAAGTTAAAAGAACAACCATAAACCACCAAAAATGAAACCACTTTCACAGTTATCTTGAGAGAAATAAAACGCTAGTCTATTTTTGATGATTAAAAAATAATATCAAACAATATAATCTCTTTAACCTTCACAATTTAATACCAAATCTTGTCATTTAAAAGTCCTTTTTTTAGAAGTTCCTCGAATCCTATCGTTGGTATAGCACAACAATGGAAAACATACATACTTGGGTCTCAGAAGCTTTCATATTTTATTTAATAAAACTATTCTGTTCTTCTGATGACATTTGGCACACATTCTGTTTTAACTCCTTTTGGGAACCCCATTGGCTACAAAACTCCGCATATCCTTGTATTCCTTTATTTATCTTCTCAAGAAAATTTCTTTTTTTTTTTTAACATAAGCTTTTTGTACTATTAATGTTTTTTTTTTTTTTTACAAATAGTTTATTGTCAAATTGGTTTCCATATAACACCCAGTGCTCATCCCCACAAGTGCCCCCCCCCGTGCCCATCCTCCCCTCCCCTCCCCACATCCATCAGTCCTCAGTTTTTGTCAGCATTCAAGAGTCTCTCATGGTTTGCCTCCCTCCCTTTCCCCCACCATTTCCCCCTTTCTTCTCCCCCACGGTCCTTTCTTAAATGAAGTAGACACGTCTGAAAAGCTACTACTTCGTGGAACCCCTTGTCCATCCCAATATGATATGCATAACTTCAATGTGATACTTCGAAAATAATGTTTTTGCTACAACAAGTTTTCAAGGCTGTGAAATATCACTTCCATAAAGGCTGGTGCCTGGTTTTTCTTGCTGTCAAGTGTTTGGCATATAGTAAGTGCTCAATAAATATTTGTTGAAAGAAACCATAAAGGAAAATAGACAACCTTAGGCTTCCTGCCCCCCCTCCCCCGCCAAGAAACACATTTGAGAAGTAGTAAGATACATTTTGAAAGTTATCCGAGGACGCATGAGGCTTATTTAACTAAGCTGGGATTATTTCCAGCCCCCTGTTATCACACAGTAGTCTGCACATAATCATACCCAATTAAAAAATATACCAGAAATGCTGGATTTTAAAAAGCCATGTGCATGAGGTTATAACTATGACAAATACTTAGGGATTGTGGAATCTAAATATTATGTCACAAAGAGCGAAATGAATTAAGTTATTAAAACATTTGGGTTTCTGGAGCGCCAGTAAATGTCAGCGTGCTTGGCAAAATCTGAAATTGTGAGAAAATGTTGCAGTGCGTGTTCCATGTAACGGGCACTCAAAACCGATTCCCAGTGAAACTGCTAACAGCAGTTCCACACGTGATCATTTAAACTGTTCTAAAGAACACGAGGAACTGATCTTTGAAGTGGCCCCTGGTGAGACTCCACTTGCTCTTAACAGCATCCTGAAAGAGTTTATAGGGTGCAAAATGAGGACTTTATTTAATTTATGGAAGTGGATTTTCACCTTCTCTATGTTAGGTGAAAAATAGAAATCGCTCACCACTCCCCCATAGCCCTATGTGACCCATTTCAAATTGCTATGAAGCCAAATTCCTGCGATTTTACAACTTTATTAAGATCTGTATTTTATATTTCAAAAGGATGGACCAATGTAGGAAGCAAAATCAAGCTTGTGGTAAAAAGATTTATGTTTTTTACCTTGGGTATCCTTCTTTGGAATTATGCTACATATTCTGATGGTGCTTAAAAAGGACAACAGCCACAGAACAAAAATGTTCATCATGTAAAACAGTATTCACATTAGAGAAACTAAAAAAGAAAAAAAAATCTGGAAGTTCTCCATGATTATGTTCTGTAGCCTTCACAGATAATTAAGGTCCTGAATTAGGTCACTGGAACCTATATGCCTGTTGATTCTAATCCATGTGGAGATAGACTTGTGACTCCATGACTCCACTACACTCCCTGTGCCTCTCTCAGCCACGTATGACATTCTCCCTGTAGGGAAGATATTTGTGCATTTGCCTTTACCACCATCATCACTTTCTTGAAGGCAGAAACCAGGTTTAAATAATGTCTGTGTTCCTGGCAGCACCGAGCAATGTGCTTTGTTCAAAGTAGGTGTGTGGCGAATGTTTGCATGAATGAACAACTTTATCAGATCTTTTTATGCTCTCATAAAACCTTAATGCATGGTTTTTGTCAGTTTTATGGGCATGGAACCATGAGGCATATCTTCCTACTCATCTTTAAATCATGTGAGCAGGGGAAATACCGCTCGTTGCTAGGTGTAGACCCGTAGGAAAGTCACAGCTCATATTGTGTGAATGGAAGAATCACATCGCTTATTGCTTCTACAAATCACAAAAACACAGGAGTATAAAATTGGAACAATTTCTGATTTTTCATTAAATCTAAATAGCCTGGGCTGAGTAGAAGAGATGAAAAATCAATTGAATTAGAACTCCTAAAGTGAAAGAAAATTAAGCACCAGGGTGAACACAGCAAACCTTTCAAGAGATGGCGAGGCCACTCATTAAGCCTTGCATGCAATTTTACAATAATTCTAATTATTGGATTCTACTTCATCCTGATGGTTTTCCAGGGGCATTCGCCAATCTCTCAATCAAGGCCGAATTCTTATCACCATTCCAGCCTCCCTGATTGGGAGGAAGAGCCCCAAGGCATCTCTCTATTTATTTGAGGATTGTCATTTCCCTATTCCCCATAAAGATTTTTAGCTCTTCGTGTACCATGTGTCAGGCCCCGGGCAGAAAATCAATGATGAAATGGAAATAGTTTAGTAAGAGGAAGACGGCAAATGAATGGTTGAAATAAAATGAAACTAATGCTATTGTAGAAGCACGTAGAAAGATATACAAAATAGCAAACCTATCTTACAGCCTATGGCCCCATCTCATTTATTCTACCTAAATGTTCTCTATAGTACTTATCATCTTAAGCCACAGATTTCCTTGTGTATTAGTTTATTGTCTTTCACCCTCAATCAGAATATGAACTCCACTTCTGTTTTGTTCCTTACCGCATCCTCATGATGTAAATGTGCAGGGCACATGGAAGGTTCTTAGCAAGAATTCCTTGAAGACATGAATGAAAAAAAGGAATGAAAATTCTATGAAACCATAGAGGAGGGAACGGTTTGGTCTGCTTAAGAGAGTCAGGAGAGGCTTCAGTGTGGAAGAGCCTCTGGCTCTTGAAGTCTGAGGAGTTAACCAGGCCAAGAAGAGAAGTGCCAGACCTGATGGAAGAGATGGAGTGTGCGAACACATGAAGGTGTGTGGGATAGGCAATATTTGGGGACTGTCATCCCTGACGGGTGAGTGGCTGGTGCCTGAAGGCCGAGGCTTGCAAGGAGCAGGCACTCACGGCTCTTACATGATATGCTAAGAAGCCTGGATTCTTTTCCTCAGGGCCTGTGAACCATCCAAGGCTTACCATGGCTAATGACCCAAGCAGATGGATGCTATAAGGTAATAGAAACTCGAGGTGTGCTTTGTATGTCTGCAGACATCGCCTTTCTCATACCGCAAGGTGGTTATAATCTAGAATTCGATAACAGACTTCCGGAAATGAGAAACACGTCATCAGTAAGGAAACACAAAATCACCTTCCATGACGGCAGGCCGTGTAGACGGTACCCTCCTCACTGCCAACCACGAAGTTATTGACGTCTCCGGTCGGGAAAGCCATTCCGGTAACAGCCACAGGCTTGGACTTATTGTACACCAGCTCCATGCTCTCCTACCGAAACACGGCGCGGTTATACTCCTTCTGTCAACTCCTTGCCATGCCAAAGATAGCACGGAAAAATCATTTGGCTAAGTCGTCTGTTTGCTTTTCACACAGCGTTACAAAAGACCCCGGCTGCGCCAGAAACCACGCTTTACTGCCCCTGACATTCATGCTTCTGTGTGTCTCTGGTTTCGGGCCGGCTGGATCTCATCAGCGTGTGCTGCTGCTTCTTAAGTCAGGCAGAGATGACAGGTGAGAATTTCAAAACTAATGGTGCAGAAACTAAAGATAATACTGTAATGGTTACACCTGTCAGCCCCAGGCTTTAATAAAACACACAATACCCTTGTATTTACAAACATTTTCAAAATCAATTGCTCGTGAGAATACACGTGTATTAATATCAGATGTACTAAGCACATTTGTCAAAGCAGGAGTGTGTGTCCTCCACGGACTAAAACCAGAAAGTTGTCACTCAAGTCATTAAAAACAGATTTCGAAGGGGACATGATTTCATGAAGGGCAGCTATTGGGTGTATAGGCTCTAGGTCGACAGAGAACGGTATTTAAAGAAGTCTTTCAAATAGCAAATGAAAGCTTTTATTTTATCTAGGATTATTATTTTCAAAATCAGGAATCAGTGTATCTTAAGAGATATTCTGCTGAATTAAGTTAATGACAGTGAAGAGTAATTAAGTGTAACCAACATCCCCAAATATTTTTGGTTATTTACATCAAAACAACCTACTTTGTGTACCTGAAGCAGTTTTAAAAAATCATTCCAGGGGATCATGTCATTATAGTTGCTAGGGAGTTTAGTCTTTTTGTGCAAATGACTAAGCCAGGCTGTCTTAGCCAAGGAGTCCAGAAATAGGTCTGGGTAGCACAGATCATGTGGTCATGTGACATGCTCATAGTACATGAGATCCACACTCATAGCGAGTGCATCAGTGAGGGGACATTATGACAATATAGAAAACAGAGCCATCCAGTGGTCTCCTCCATTACTAAAATTAGCGGCGGAAAAGGCACAGTCTCTCAGTCACCCACATGGAACACAGAAGGACCGAGGCGACTACTGGATGCTGTCTACCTGTCATCCACGGACATGCCATGAAGCTTTCAATCTCTGTACAGGGCCGGGAGCTGTAGGCATGCGAAAATTAATAAGAACAATTTTGTAGCCCATGTAGGACTGGTTTTAACTTAAACAAACAAACGTTTGATCAGCCAAATGAGCAACTAAAAATTCCTAACTAGAGGGTTCACTCTTATATCTGTTTGTAATCTCCATGCTTTTAAAAGCAAATAACATATTGCTGAGAATTTTAAGACAAAGCTATAAAATACCCACACACAACTCCCAACTTGTATAATGGTAATGCTCAGACAGAATAGATGAACTGAAATAGTAAGGAGCTTATTAGCTCTCTTCCCCCACCCCAGATTATAAAAGGAATTTACTTGGTCTTAATATTCTCCACATCTGTATTTTTGGAGACTTATGGGAGGTTGTTTATGGTTTCCACATTTCCTCATGTGTCTTGAAACTCCAATGTCCTCGAAAATTGGGACGTAGACATTCTAGGGTCGTCATTCCAGGAAAGGGAAGAAGGATGTTAAAATTGAGAATTATCGCCTAGATATGTTTATAATTTTCTTGATATTTCCTCACATTTTTGTCAAGGTCTCTGACAGTAAACTCTTCTCTGTGTTTTTAGTTGGAGGACAATGAAATACTATTTTTTCCACAAAGAAATGTGGACAGAGTGTGTCTATGCATGTGTTGATGTGTGCATGCATGAATCTTGTATACACAGATACAGTCTGAGAGTTCATTTTGATGCCTCCCTGCAGTGGTCTCTTGTCCTTGTGCTTCTTTGTTTGGTTTCCGTGACTCTAATCAGTAGTGGTTTGGACATTTTGGAACATTTTCATTTTCAACTCTCATTTGTTGAGCAAGGAATGGCAGGAGCCATCCTAACAAGCATTCCGGCGGAGAAAACAGATGGTTGGATGCATTCTTCATACACAGCCATCTAGGCTAAGGATGCAAGCAAGGGCTTGGGTCTCTGTTTTGTGGGGATGCCTTTCCTCCAAGGCAAGTGCCCGTAAGGGATTGCTCTGTTGAGCTCCAACTTCGTTCGCATTTGTTTAATAATGCTGTAGGGTAAGTACAATTCATACCACAGGCAACTTCTATAATTACTATGCTTTAAAATGGATTATTTCATTTTCACTTGAAACTGACCTAAGGATTAATGTATTACAATAATTACATGATTTGTGGTAAAGGAAATGGGTTTTGGCTTCAGGAGGAGACTGCTGAAAGCATGCCCCACTCTTTCAAGTGCATCCATTGGTTTTAGCTCCCATAGGATGTGAGGGTTTGGCTTTTAGGAACTATGTTCCATTAGGCAAGTGTCTCTTTTAGCCAGGATGCTCTTATGTGTAGGGGAAAACAAACCCACCTGTGGAGTTGAGAGCATGTCCAGGCTCCAGGAACACATTTTACCATCAGTAGAGACAGTGATGAGGTTGTGAGCATTCTGGGTCCCAACAACATTTACACAGTACACGGGATGCTGCAGAAACATAAACATGGAGGATCAGATGCCAATCCAAGAGGAAGTGCTTACACTGAAGTGTCAAACACATTACTCTAAAACAAGGATTAAAAAGTGACATAACAATAATACACGCCTCGGGTCATTTGCCACTTTCGATTCGGACCTGATTTCTTTCTAAAAGCTCTGGCATCAACACGTAGTAGCGGAAATTCTTACCAAGCTTCACCTTGCTCAGTCAGAGGCAGTCCAACGGAGCTGAAGGAAGCTGCGGCAAATGATGATTGATGGGGCAGAAGCAGCACATAGTTTGGCTTCTAAGCTCACCATGAGTGATGAAAAAAGACAGCTTTCAAAAGAGTAGAACTATTGACTTTTGGAAGGAATATGCGTTACTAAATCTGGAGTTTAATGCATTCTAGTCACCGTGCCAAACATTTGTTAACATTCTTTATAAAAACTGGTTAATATTCATCAGCCTCTTTAATTTGAGGGGGAGATACTGGTGGCAGGACTTGCTGGCACAGTGCACCTCATGATAACATTAGGTTCTTTTATGTTACTGCAAAATCTAGGATAATGATAGATTTCTTTTTTTTTAGATTTTTTAATGTTTTATTTAGTTCTGAGAGAGAGAGAGAGAGAGAGAGAGAGAGAGACAGCATGAGCAGGGGAGGGTCAGAGAGAGAGGGAGACACAGAATCTGAAGCAGGCTCCAGGCTCTGAGCTGTCAGCACAGAGCCCAGTGCGGGGCTCGAACCTACGAACTGTGAGATCATGACCCGAGCCGAAGTTGGATGCTTAACTGACTGAGCCACCCAGATGCCCCTAGATTTATTTTTTAAAATATCCTCTGGGCTACGACTGAGGCTTCGAATTGGCCAGGGTCTTGATAAAAGTCACTTATACATCCCAGGAATCATAAGCAAGATGCTCTCACCTCCTATCATAATGCTAGCAGGCAATCCCCACTCTGTAGAATCCTAAATGGTAGGCTAAAATCATTTGCAGCTGCACATTAAATACTAAATGGAAGGTTAGCATAAGCAGAACCTAGCAGTAATGTGGGTTAGATTTCAGGCAGCTTAGCCATCATGGGCCAAGCCACAACTTAGTTGGTGCCTCCCTGTGCAAATAGCTGACGGTCTAAGTCTTACCCTTGATGAGTTACTGTCCATAATACCTAGCCACAATGACAATGAAACAATCTTTAATATTGGAAAGTTGATATTATATAAAGGATGGTTCCCAAACTATGATTATCATATAAACTCCTGGTCAGAAGGAGCCATAATAATACTCATCGAGGGCAGCTACTCATCTGCCCCCACCGAGAGGTGGGGTCCAAAGTCTGCTGAAACACCTTTCTCGAGGGTAAGCAGCTTTTTGCACTGATTCCCGGGGAGTTCTTCTTTCTACCCTTGGGGATAAAGAAAGCTCAAGGAGATACTTTAGCTCAGTGCCCTCTGGGATCCTACAGATAAAGTCCAAACAGTATTTATAGATTGTTGTTTTCTCACCCTCCCTTCTAGTCTTATCCAACTCAGACTAATCATCGCCAATTCCTCCAAGGGTTCTTGAGTACCTGGCTTTCAGACTTTCAATACCCTCCTCATCCTGGTCACTCTCTTTTGAGTATATTATATTTTGTCTGAGCTCCTCTTACAGTGAAGTTCTGAGAATGAAGCACAACTGTCGACCTATATTCTAGCCAACAGACTATAGAAATCTAGGGAGTGTTGAATTGTCACCTCTCACATGATAAAAAATACACGGGTGTTAATGCATGCTAAGATTACATGTGCTTTTTTGGCAACTGCATCATCACCTCTTTCACCCATGCTGATGGAGAGCCAATTAAATAAACCCCTGGGTCTTTTCCACACCATGTTCGGGCAGCAACTTTCAATCAGCCGTAGTGGATGTGGACAGTGCTGAGTATGGCAGGGATCTGAAAGTCAGTGTTATCCTGATCAGGTCTCTACATTTCAAGAGGACTGACTGGTTGTGGGACTGTGGACAATGGTTTTTCCCAAGCCTCCAGTGTGTGTAAAACCTGCAGCAGTGAGCATTCGAACGCAAGGCTCACGCCACACAGCGTTCAAGTCAACTGGGAGAATGGATGAAACAAATTCTCACCTAAAAACAGCAGACCGCAGAATGGGAAGGCCAGGTCGAAACACCGTTAGGAATCTGAAATCCACCTAGTGTGTTTCAGCAAGAGTCCAATGGGGTTTCTTTGTTAACCACCAAGCATCAACACAAAGCACCAAAATCCTGATGGATTGGGACTCCTAAGGGTGCATATAAGAGGGAAATGAAGGCATCTAGAAGAATGTATAGAGCCAAATGCCTGGAGAAAGAATGTGCATGGCAGCCCCTCCCTGGCTTTAATCAGTACTACTGGCCCGTGCTTTCATGAGTAATAAAACTTGGCTTAAAAGAAAAGAGAGAGATGTAAAGAAACCAGAACAGAAGTAGACACGTGGGCATGCCTACACATACACACACAACTCTATTTAATGGAAAGAAAAAAAGCAATGCTACAGCTCATTTTTCCAGGATAGACCGCCAGATTGTTTTTATTTATTTAAGGAATAAACTTACTGTGTGGCAGAAGGGTTTTGCTTTAATTAGGATTTCCTGTTGTCCCAAATGCATATGTGTGGTGGGTGTGAAAGGAAATTAGTAATCTGTGGCAGGCCTCTTTTTCCTTAACCACTTTTGATCCTGGTACCAATCAGCCAGGCATTAGTGGAAGTTGAAAGGCAGTCACAAAATTAACTGTGCCCTTTTAGCTATGGATTCAACAAAATGCAGCAAAAGAGAGAAAAAAGTTTTTGTTTCAAGCAGAAAGATGTTACTGTTTGATAACTAATATTATTTAAAATTTTTAAAATGTTTATTTATTTTAAGAGAGAGAGAGAGAGAGAGAGAGAGAGAGCTTGCACAAGTAGGGGAGGGTCAGAGAAAGAGAGAGAGAAGCCAAAGCAGGCTCTGTGCTGTCAGCACACAGCCCGATGCTGGGCTCCAACTCATGAACAGTGAGATCATCACCTGAGCTGAAAACAAGAGTCAGACACTTAACTGATTGAGCCACCCAAGTGCCCGATAATAATAGTATTTTAGCTGTGATGATCATATCCTAAGTTACTTGAAAAAGAAAGCTTAACTCTTTGGAAGAGCTCCTGGATTTGGATTTTCCCCAAAAGCTTATTGCTCTAACAGTTGGATTTATATTTGAAATTTCACAGGATAGGCTCATTAACACACCAGATAGGCACACATAGCCAGGAAGCGGTTTCATGCTACTTGAGCAAACACCTGCATCAAGCCGTCTTCTCTTGGGTCACAATTTTCTGTTATTAGTTTGGAGAAATGGGGTAGGCAAAAGCAATTTTCCAAGACTCCCAAGAACTAGTTTCACCTGCATGTGTCTCAGGCCCAAGTCAATCAGAATTAGGGCTGACTTGGTATTTGTCACTTCCCATTGTCAATCTTATAGGAATGGAAGAATTTTCCTTTCCATGGTCTTAGCTAAAGCAGCTCCAGTCTTTTTTTTTAAAGCTAGAATGGTTTTGAGGCCAGCTGATGAAACAAATGAGGCGACCACATTAAGGAAATTGAAACAATAGTAGAGCTGTATTTTTGGGCATAATTTGGGCATTTCAGAGAAAGAACATCAGTTACTCTGAATGTCAAGACAGCAAGGATTGATGGAGACATGCCTGTCTTCTCATTCCTCCTAACAACTGCTAAACACACCTGTCATTCTTTTTAAGGAAATGACAGAGTAGTTGTCTTATGAACACTATACTGAACCTCTTCTGCTAAATTGTGGGTAATGGTTTTGAGATGTTGACTTTTAACCTGAGGGATTATATTGTCACTGTAGACTTTACCGTTGAGACTTACAACCATGCATTCCAGAATTTAAAGTCATAGCACTCTGTCGAATCACAAATGGAAAAGGACGGCTGGCAAAAGTCCTGTATGCCATCCCTCGACATGAAATGCTTACTCCTCAGGGTCCATTTGAAAATACAAGTTTCCACACCACACTGTTATATGAAGGGTTACTTTACAACAATTTCACCTCTGCCCCTTCCAAAGTTTCTCCTTGTGTTCTTTTGTAGTTTCAATCCATCCTCACCTCACCAGTTGTCTTTGGATCCAAAGAGGTCCTTTGTATGTGCTGAAACTTGTAGATCATTAAGAGATTTCTCCAAACCCAGTGCTTCCTTCACCCACTTTTCACACAGCTTTATTTTGGTCTCTCAGGTTACAATTACTGTACATCACATATACTCCAGGTTGGAGTTACTGACTGACTGCGTTCGTACTTCCGTCGGTCATCCCCTTACAGGGCTTGGGTGGCTGACAGGGAAGCGACAAAAGCTGACTTACAGTGTGTGCAGCAGCTGACAAGGGTGTCCTCTGCACTGGTGTCCTTCGATGACTGCGATTATCCCACAGGACGATCTGGCCTGAGTAAGTCCCGCCAACCACCAAGTTGGGATGGAAACGAGCGAAGCACACTGACATCACAGAGGACTGGGAGGAGAGAGGGGAGAAATGTGTACTGTGAAATGGTTGGAGGAGGCTGGTTTCTTCCTGAAGAGAAAACAGTTCATCACATCAACTCAACACATCCTGGAAAACATAAAGCAGTTGGTAAATGCATAGTTAGTGGAATATTTTGTACCTAAATACAGACTTTTTTTCTTGAGAAGGTCGGTCAATGGTTACCCCTTGAAACTTGAAATTTGATGTCCTGGCCATGTCTTCAAATAGGCATAAAACCTATCTTATGTGCATCCTTGTTTTGTGGTATGTAAAGCGTGGTTTGAGGACATTTCCCTTTTATCAATAAAATTGCATCAGAACTAACATGGGTTCTCCACTAAAGTCTTTACAAGGTAATTCTTTACAGTGAAGGCCTGGCTACATCAAATTATACTATATACAGTGTCGGCAAGGCCTCAAGGACTTTGAGACGCGGTGCTTTTTTTTTGTTTTTGGCTTAATGTAGACTTCTAGGAAGTATACTGACCTCAGACTGATCAACTTGTTCCTCCCTAAATTCCCTCGCCTCCCATGGGCATTCTCCTGACCTTGATCCTGCCCACTTCAGACAATTCCTAATGTTTTTCTTTGTCTATTTTAACAAAGTCAGAAGTAGATTTCAGTCCAACTCTACCAGGGTCTGTCATAGCACCACGAATGTGGTTTCTGAAATTCCACAAAAGACTACTGGGCACTACATTTTATAGGAAATTACTTAGGACCAGGATAAACTTAAATCAGAAAAGTTGGCTGTTTCATATTTGCTAAAAAGTCCATTTTGATTCCCGTAGTGCTTCCATGTTTGTACTTATTTATATGTGGAAGCAATTGGTTTTAAGAAATACATTTCATCCTTCCAATTAAATTCAATGAATGACCTTATGAATAAGAAAGGCACTGTGTCAGGCAAAATGGGAATACAAAGGCAGTCACTGCCCTCAATAAACTTGTGCCCTGATAAAGGAAACTAAAAAACATGTGTGCTGATGGCCAGAACTGCATATGCTGCTAGTTGATATGTGGTCCAAGCCTTCATAAGAAATAGAAAATGGTGTCTCTTTGCATAGACATAGCCATGTGGGGGTGGTGCCTGTCTTGGCTAATGGAGAGTGAGGTGGATCTTTGTCTTCACTTGTCCCTTGGGTTTGATATCCTTGCACAATTTGCACACACAAGTAGCAGCCTTGAATGTGATGCGTGCCATGACTAAATCACAGCAGCATATGTGTCTTTGTGTGTGTGTGTGTGTGTGTGTGTGTGTGTGTGTGTAGGGGGAGTGGGGAAGATTAGCTAGGAGAGGGGAGGAAAGAGGAGAGTGGAAAGAGTAGATGGTTTAAGAGACCTCATGAATGGGAATGGATCACCCCTTGAAGTACAGGTGGACTGCTCAGCACGTGGAGAGGAAAAGAAGCAGGTGCTCCTGAGAGATGGGATAATAGGAAAAAAGATGAGAGGCACCAAAACAGAGGCTGGTGAACATCCCACAGTCTGGTTTGGCTGGGAAGGAGCTTGCATGGAAGAGGCAGATGGTAGGGAATGTGGCTTAAGAGGTTCCCTAGGCCACACAAGAGAAGGCCTTGAATGGCAGGCACTATTTGGAATTTTTTCCACAGGCAATAGTGAGAAATCACAGCATCCTGAGGAAAAATGGGAGACGATCAAAGATTGTAACTGAAAAATCAGCAAAGTAGAAAAGTGAATGAAAAAAAATTATGATCTCTTCCTGACTGGGAGGCTAAACATCCATTTCTAAAAAGATTAGATCTACTATCAGCCTAAATCTTCCTTGTCTGAAACAGCCTCAGATACACAGAGGTAGAATAAAGAATGCAGACTATACTTCAATGTCATGTTTTCCTAGTTTGAATGATTTTCAGTTCCAATCCTTGAACAAGATTAGATGGAGAACATGCTTGTGCCCCAATCTGGTTTTCATAAAGTTCAAGAATAACTCTCAATAATGGTACTGAATTAAAGAAAAAGAAAATAATGCTGGTCAGCTTCTTGTTTTACACATCCCACAGAAACGATTCTTAGTTTTCAACTGATGAAATTCTTATGTTGCTTGAGCTATGTTGGAAACATTTTCTTTAAAGCTTCAGAAAGACTTAAAATTATCCAGGTGGTATCAACAATCGAATTTACCAAAGCTCCAATCAATATGGATAAAGGAATGTCATTAAATTAGAAAAATCCAGAATTCAACCACTTGATTGCTTCTGTGTTTCAGTTAATTCCCGGCAAATACTGTTCCAAACTTTGAACAGTTTGTTAAAAGACTAAACTAGAGAAAAATAAACAGTGGGCGTACTTCTATGAAACTGAAACACACTGTTGTCAATCATCTAAAATCCAACCTTACAAAGTGAGAATGCTTTCTAATTCCTATTTTTTCGTTCATTTGTTTTTCTTTCATTCATTCCTTCATTCTTTCATTCATCAAACACAGTGTCCACTAAGTACTAATGAAACCATTTCAAACATTTTTAAAAGTGGCACAAGTCCCCAGTCTGGAAATCAGAATTCTACCTGCAGTTGATAAAAAGTCAAATTCATGCTAAAGAAAGAGTCACAATCCCTTAGAGCCCCAGAGTTCTGCTACCAGAGTCTACTTTGTTTTGTTGCAAATCAATCTTTACAACATCTCCATGAGGAAAAAGAGTAGGCACACTTATTTTTGTATTTGGAAGATGAGACGTGGAGGAGTAGTTATGTGATTCTCAATTTCACTTATGTTTTAAGCTCCATACATTAATTATAATATGCATTATAAGGATTATAGAATATAAAGGTTCAAAACAGATCTCCAGGGTATGCCACATTTGACATATTATCATTCATATGGAAACACTAAGGCAGTATGATCTCAATTATCTAGATGTAAAGTTTAAAATTTAGTCATTTCTTGAGATGTTTTTAAGTACCCCAATGTTTGATGTAATGGTGACAAACATTTGGATGATTGACTGAACTTTTTATTTTTCTGCCAAATATTTATGTTCTGTCAGTCAAATGGGAACAGTCCCTTAATTGCAGAGAAAGCTCTTCTTCTAATTTGGAAAGTCTGCATCAACCCGTAGGAGTAAAGTCTTGGAAAAACCCCTGTGATCTCCTGCTGTTCATATAGCTCCTGATCTCCTTGTTGTCACCAATTGTCTTGAAATTTATTGTCTGTCAGCATAAAGAGCAAAGGACGATTTCATCCCATCAGTTATATCAATTTGGTAAAGGGTAAAAACAGCATTCCAGAAGCATTGACTGACATTATTAAAGTATGTGGGGTTTCTTGTTGTTCTCATTTGCACACTACATTTTCTGAAGACATACTATATGGAAAACAACATTGATAATATTAATATTACTTTAAAAAATATCATCACTTTCGTAGGCATTTAAACTTTTGTAATTAATTCAGTTATTCAGGGTCATAATAAAGCATCATTAAATTATATGATTAATACAATTTAGGCAAGCAAACTTAATTGGAAACAAAAAGCGTCCCTACCTTGTTATTCTTAACTTTTTAAGGCTATGTAGCTGTATAGATGTTTTTGGAGTTTTTAATTTTTTACTTATTTTGTTTTATTCTTTAAAATATAAGAGCCTTAGATTTATTTTGAGGAACAGGGTATGGCCTTTAAACATTCAAATCAAGTAGTTTACACGAGTGGAAAAATAATGATAAAGTTGATGAGAATTTCTGGATAATGTTAATGTCTAATCAGTGTAAGTTTTTCTGAGACCATGTTTTTATAAGGCTAGTGATTTCATCGATACGGCTCAGAAAGATGATTAACTAGTTACTAGTACATTAAAAACTTGATGTAAAACCGGTGAGTGTGGCCTGCTATGTTCCAACACAGGTAACACAAAGACAGTATTACATGAGGAGCCACCGTATGCAAGAGGGCATGCACCACATTTTGATTATTTCCATATTATGGTTCCATCAAATCAGGACAAGCAAGATTTAGAGACGATGTTTTAAGGATCATGGCATCTCTAGTGAGAGTTTCTGGTGTCCTATGCAGATATGGCAGCCCAGATGCTCTTGAGGGAACTTTATTTTTTAATCTTGAGCAGACCACATGGTTACTGACCGTCCCTACAGAGGCAGCCCTCCCCTATCCCTATCCCCACACGTCCACTTGCACACGAGCTGACCCGCTAACCAGGATTCCACACCCTCATCATCTATTTCAAGAAAAGGCAGTTTATGCTTCCCATTCACAGGGCGAATTCAGAGATGAGACGGGTGGAGACGTCACTTTCAACGTCTCCCTTCGCTCACTGCACACACCGCATTCAATTGCAGTCAGCTCCAGCCCCTCCTGCAGCGGCTGTGGGGGCTGTTTTCTATTTTATAGAGCTAATCCTGGCCAGTTGAGGGTCGGTACTTCCCCTTAACCACAGACCCAGATGCCCAGGGCAAACAGCCTCTGGTCATTGCCGGTTGGGCAGCTTGCTCCTTATGTTCACATTTGATACGGTTGCCCGAGTCCTTTTGTGTATGGCACCCTGCCCACTCCCCAGCCACTGTGCCCAGGTGGGAGGGAAAGGGGTCCTGCATTCAAAAGCATCTCCTATTTCAAGTACCATCTCTTCTGGGGAGAGGTTGGTCCCAAGAGGGAATGGCCATATTGTTGCCATATGCTCTTTAATGGTGGCTGACATTTTATTTGCCGAAAAGTAAATGCTTAACTGTCAGAGGGCTGTGAGGCAGACAGATCAGATGCTCTGGCTACTAGTGAGCTAGAATATATTTCTGCAAGTGCCTAAGAAACCCACAATGATATTTCTTTTGTTAATGGAAACACATGTAATTAGAGAACACTGCTATCGAAAGCCCCCCATACAGGCAATCATGTAGCACCAGGCATCTGACAATGTGGAAGGTGTGAAGGTGGTAAAGCCAAGACATGAGTCATGAGTCAGGCACTTAACTTTAACTGAAATGAAGGAAAGGGGCTCTTTTTCTTTCAGAGCTC